TAAAGGCCTCGCTGCCCTCGGATAATACTACTTTTTTTTTTTTAACCCAAAGGAGAGATACACAAGCTGTTGTTTCACAACCTTTGGGTTGCAACATTTCCTCCCCTGCTCAGCACCCCGCTTCTGGCGCTTCCCCCCGCCTTGGGGGCAAAGCTTTCACCCCCGCACGGGCCCTTCCCCCCCCCAGGCCACCGCACACACGCATGAAGTTCGGGAATGTGCTCATCGATTTGAATGGGAGGGAGCACTACTCTGGCTTTTTGGTGTTTCCTCATGCATGGTTGTGAGCTGTAGGACAAAAATGCCAATATTGTCAGGCAACACTAATGCTGTAATGACTGTAAATCAGAAATAGCGTGGCAATTATCCTCACAGTAATTACATAATCTGCTTAGCAAATTACATAATTATTCTATAAAGGAGCACTACAGATTTTTCTGAAACTAGTTAGTTTGGTGTGCTTTTTAAACTATTCAGTGTAATATAGTTGGAGTAGCAAAACAGTGCTAGTCTCTTACATTCATTTTGCACTTGGGTTTCTTAACTTGTAGGAAGGAATGCAAGTTTGTTCACAACTTCCACTCAGACCACAATCTTGGTGTTCTAAAACAATATGGACTTGAGAATTTAAACAGTGATGAACTTCGCCAGCTTCTGCTTCAAAATGACCCTTTCCTCTTACCAGAGGTGAGTCTGTGACAGTTTCTTAGCCTTGTGTTTCAGTGAGCATCATGAACCGGAAGAGCCTTGATACTGGCTGGAGATGTTAGGTGTCAGTTTAGTTAGCATAATGGAAATCTAAAACTTTAAATCTGCGTCCTCGGTTCTCGTCTGTGGTGCATTAACCCTATCTGGCAGCTAAGCACTCGCACAGCCCCTCACTCGCTCCCCTCCCCCAACTCCAGCAGGACAGGTGAGAGAAAACAAGAACAGAAGTGACAAAAGTTGTGGATGGAGTTAAAGACAAGTTTAGCAAGTGGAGGAATGAGGGGAGGAAGCAAGTCTTGCAAAGGAACTTAGTCACCACCTGCCACAAGCAGACCCATGTCCAGCAAGTCTCTGAGTGAGGACTACCTTGTAAGAAGTACCCACCTCTGCCCTGCCCCTTTTTAATTTTCATTTTAGAGCATGACATTATATGGCATGGAATATCCCTTTGGCCAGTTTGGGCTAGCTGTCCCAGCTGTGTCCTCTCTCAGCTTCTTGCCCTTGCTCCCAGCCTACCCGAGGTGGGGTGGCCAGAGTGGAGAAAAGAAGAGAAAGCCTTAACACTATGCAAGCACTGCTCAGCAGAAGCTGAAACATTGGTGTATCAACACTTTTGGTCACAAATCCAAAACATAGCACCATAGAGTCTGTTATGAAGAAAGTTAATTCCATCCCAGCCAGATCCAGTACTTCTTACCATCAGATTCAGTTCTAAAAAGTTCATTGTTCCAAAACTAGAAAACCAGAGAGTTCTGTTAGTGACACAAATAAAATACATACATTTATGTGACTTAGAACAAAATCCCATCTGCATAAGGATGCTTGTAAGATGGTTGTTGGCTGTTGAAAGATCTTTCTAGACATTAGCAGGGAAAAGGAAAAACTATCAAGTAATCACTTGGAAAACATGAAGAAAGAAGAAACTTGTATAAGTCTTTTAAATGCAAACATAAACACATAGCTGTAAAAATCTAAAAATTGTGAGTTCAAACAGTCTAGATGAGCATGTTGTACTTTAAATTCTTTTTTTTTTCTCTACCCAAGGTCTGCTTGCATTATAACAAAGGTGATGGACCTTATGGATCTTGTACCTATAAAAAGATCTGCACCAAACTGCATGTTTGCCAGTACTTTTTGCGAGGACAGTGCAGATTTGGCAGCAGCTGCAAGCGATCCCATGACTTACTAAAGTCAGAATGTTATGAGAAACTGGAGAGACAGGGAATGAGCTCAAACATTATTGAGAAACTACCCTCCATTTATAGGAATATGTATGACATAAAAAATGGTGACGGGAACATGTATGACATAGAAGATGCCAAGTCTTCACCATGCAAAGGTAAATGAAGTCTTTTGAAAACATCAGAAGAGTTGTTAGAGCTAATGTAGCATTCTCACAGATGTCATTAAGAAAAAGAAAACTGAATTCACATCTTGTCTGTCTTTTAGGAGGGACCTTGTACCTATCTCATTTGTGTCTTGACAAGTGAAGTGGATTTCAAGGCATTATGGATTCCTAAGAAATAAAGTGCTTGGTGTTTATAAAAATCTTAAATTTGGGGTTAGAAAAGCATAACAGGAACTGGAAATAGGGACATCTGTAATTTTTTCGTGGTAAAAAACATAAGCAAGGGTAGATAACTTTAAGAACAGGTGTGGTGTTTACTTGTGTGATGATAAACTACTTTATCAATTTTTTTCTTTAAAACGTGGTGATTGTCTAGCACAGGAGTTCAGACAGCAGTATCCTAGTTACTTCTCAGACATGTAGTATTTTATGTGTTCTCTTCTTCTGAAACTCCTTAGAATTGTAAGTAAAGTATAATTTAGCAGGGAAGAAAAGGATAACAGAATAGAAAATCCAAGTGTGTGTGTTCATCTCTGCTATTCTCCCTGCAGTTCCTTTTTCCATTCTTTGTTTCCTTAGGTGTGCTTTAATTTACCGAAGTATCAAATTTTGAGACTTCAGATTTTATAGCTGCCAATGTGAATAGTTGCGTGGAATGTACGGCTAACTCAAGTCCATCTAGAATGCAAAGGCATTGGATTCTATTCTTATTTTGTGGTGATAGGTAAAATAACATCTGATTAATTTAGCAGTTACAGGAAAGTCAAGTTCGGAAAGGATGGATAAAGGGATAGGACTTTTGAGTATACAAAGTTATCAAAGACTTCAGTGTCTTTCTGGCGCTGGATGCAGTTATGTAGTTATAAATGGTGTTTTTAGGCATCTTTCCTACCCATAGGTGCACTTTTTAGAGGGCTTGTTGAAACAAAGTGTGTTAAAAAGACTTATAATTCCTCACTCTAGAGAGAAAACACAGCTCTAGCCAAGTGTCCTCAACTACAAATGATGATGAATTGGAAGAGATCTGTTTATATAATCTGTACAGAAGTTGTGGCTTTAAAGGTAGGTTGAGACTGTGGCAAGTCCAGTCTATTTTCCTTTTTTTATAAAGAGAAAGTGATAGACATCTTTCACAGAAAGGGGAAGCTTCAGATTTTATGCCCATCTTTAGTTAAATCTCATTGTAATCTTGAGTGCTGGTAGGAAAGTGTTTGACCTGCCTGATAAACAAAACAGCTCCTTTGTTTGGCATGACTCTGAAATGTATAGTATCAGCCTGTGTTGGAGATTGGCTACTCCACCTGTGTTCACCTAAGGGACTGCTGAATGATAGGAGTCCCATTTCCAAATAGCTACAAAAGATACTCTGAATTCTACATTCTTGCTTGTTTCTTCTAGTGCTTTTATGTTCCTTCTCTCTGAGCTGTCTCCCTTTCAAAACATTCCAACTTGTCCAGGAAAAAAGACTGCTGTGCCAGCGGTCTTGTTGGGGGTGTCCTTTTTTCATCCTTTTCCTTTTTGATGTTCTTGACCTGTAGTAGCTCCCTGATGTACTGCACAGCTTCTCATAAGAACTGTGTATTGCAGTCTCGTTGACTTTCCCTGTAGTTAAGTTGCCTGTTGTTCTGCTATGAAAGCTAGCCTCTAGTTTATACATATGTGTACTGGTGATGTGATCTTTGCTTCTGTTGAGGAGTGACTGGATACTGACTCTTCTCATGATTTCTGAGTAACACTTGTGATACCTGGGCCACTGCCACCACTACTCTTGTTCCCGGTGAGACCTGGATCCATAGAGACTTCTTGAAGTCTCTAAATAAGCTACCTCCTATCCTAAAACTAAGCACTAGTTGTTGTGGGTTTGTTTTTTTTTTCCCCCCCCTCAGTAATACCACTTTGGGACTAAGTGGTTAAGCATGGATATTTGAGTCTACACTGTTATTCTATTTATGAAATAATAGCCTCATATGGGCTTGTGATCTCGATTCATTGTAAATTTTTGTCTCTGAAACTGAGAAAACAGAATGGTCTTTCACACTGAAGGGCTCCTTCTTAGACTCCTGCTAACAATTTTGGTGCACAAAGAGAACCTAGTAGGTACAGAAACTGAACTTCTGCCTGAGCTTGAAAATTAAATTTTGCTTATTCACGCTGAAAAGTTCTGAACTACTGCTTGTAATGATTCCATAGGTGAACTTCCCATAGCTGTGCATTTGATACTTTAACCAGCCAGGTGTACAGCCCTGAAATGTTGGAGATTTTCTCATATCCTGTAAAAATAATAACATCTCTTACTTTTTCTTTTTTTTTTAACTGTTATAGACAAGTGTATCAGAACTCATTTTCACTTGCCATATAGATGGCAGATCGCTGATGGTAATACCTGGAAGGACTTCAAGAATATGGAAGAAATAGAAAAAGCATATTGTGACCCCAGTAATACCAGGTATAAACTCTTATTTAATAACGTTTGGAGTTTGCTCCATTGGACCAGGCCCTTAGTGGCTATAAATTGCCACAGTTCTCCTGCAGTCATTATATAAGTAGCCTCATTCTGTGTTCTTCTACTGACCTTGCTTTGCTGATCTACTGTTGGTGGAGATATGATCCATTGTGACATACTTATGCCTGGAGTCCATATAGGACCCTCTGTGTTACCATACTGGCTCTGGCTGAGATGCAGTTAACTTTCTTCATAGCAGCCCATATAGTGCTGTGTTCTGCATTTGTGACTAAAACAGTGCTGATAATGCGCCAGTGTTTTAGGTGTTGCTGAGCTATGCTTGCCCAGAGTCAAGGCTTTCTCTTTTTCCCACTCTGCCTGGGGATGGGCAAGGGGTTGGGAGAGGATCAGCTGGGACAGCTGACCAAAGGGATCTTCCATACCATATAATGTCATGCTGAACAGTAAAACCTGAGGCAGAGGAAGAAGAGGGTTGGGTTTTTTGTTTCCAAGGTGGCTGCTGTTTGGAGGCTGGCTAGGCATTCAACTGCCTGTGGGAGGTGATGAGCGATTTGCTTTGCTTTATTTATTTGTTTATTTACACACACACCCTTCTTCACCTATTGAATTGCCTTTATATTGACCCACAAATTTTCTCGCTTTTGTGCTTCCTATTTTCTACCCTCTGTCATGCAGAGGAGGGGAGGGAGAGTGAGTGAGCATCTGTGTGGGTACTTCGTTGTTGGCCAGGGTCAATCCACGAGAGTTATTTTATGCGTCTGACCTGTAGACTCTAGTATTCTTTGCTGTGGGGGAAAAAAAAAGGTATAAATACTTCCTACTGCTGCTACCATAGGAAGTCTTAATCCTCACTGAGAATTCTGGAAAACTTCAGAGAAGACTGATTTTGTCACAAGTACTTGTGGGAATCTGTCTTTGGTTAAAGCTTGCCAAGACACAGCTTGACCCCATAGTTACAAATAACCTTCTCTTCCATCTTCCATCTTCCATCTCAAAAGGTGAAAAGGTTGCATGGGATATGCTCCTCCCACCCCCTTTTCCCCTGGTCCATATTGTGGAACTGGTAGAATACCTTGTGTACCTGAAGAGAGAGATACTCTTGGCTGCAGAGAACCATTAAGAATACAGAAATACATTTAAGAGTTTGGAACTGGTTATATAGCACGAAGCGTGTATTGGAAGGGGCTCATTTAAGAGTTTGGAACTGGTTATATAGCACAAAGCGTGTATTGGAAGGGGCTCATACCAGTATTCTGTGTCCCATGCTGGAGAATTTGCTTAGCCCTCTTCTGTTGTTTAGTCTGGAGAAGAAACATCATAGTTTTAAAAAAAACTAACTAGTAGTAAAAAAATACCAGCATTCCAATAAAATACATGGTCAGTTGTTTTATTCTAGGATTTTTATGGCCTTTCCCTATAAATACTGTAAAGGAATTTGAGAAATACAGTGTCTTTGGACAGTTGTTCCTTTATTCAGAAGGATAACGGACTGCAAACAGGGAGGTGGTGGAGTCACCATCACTGGAAGTGTTCAAAAAACATGTAGACGCGGCACTTCAGGACATGGTTTAGTGGGCATGGTGGTAGTTGGGTTGATGGTTGGACTTGATGATCTTGAAGGTCTTTTCCAACCTTAATGATTCTGTGATTCTGTTACATTAGAGGCTCTTTGAAGCCGTGCTTAAGTTATGATAGTGTTCTGTTTAGAATATAGTTGGTTAGCAAGAATAAGATAGTGTACATTTTCCACTGTTGCTGTAACTCACTAATTTACGAGTTGGTAATGGTTACTGCATGTGGAACCAATGTGAGACGTAATACTATAATGCAAAATATGTACAAACATAAGACGGAGCTAGGATTGTTGTAGAAACTGCAGGTTTGTGTTCTGCTTTTGAGTAATGTTGACTTAATTTCCAAATTTGTGATGTGCTTCTGAACCTATGTGTAAAGCTTCACCTCAGATTTTTTTTTTCTCCTTTTTTTTATAGATTTAGTAATGGCATTGCTGAAAGTGGCTCTGTCTTGTCATGTATCGGTTTTTTGAATATGTGCTGTGGGTTTGCAAACGTTAGACGTCTTTCTACAGCCTCTTCTGTGACCAAACCCCCTCACTTCATTCTTACAACAGAATGGATCTGGTACTGGAAAGATGAATATGGCCTGTGGCAGGAGTATGGCAAAGAAGTAAGTGTGGAGAAATGGGAAGACTCTCAACTCTGTGTTAGAAGTGCAGAACTACTGAAAAGTACACAGTGTTTATATCCTCCCCTTCTTTTGTCACCCTCTCCCTCCCACTGATACTGGATGAATGGACTTTAGAGGCCTAATGGGATCTTCTCCCTATGAATGCGATTGGTTCAGGTAGGGGAGTGCTCACTGGTGAGTCACAAATAGTATTGACAGAGAATTCTTCAGTGAGTCATGTCAGATAGGATCACATCAATACATTCTTTTCATTGCTCCTGACTAAAACTTCCTTTTCTGAGGTTCCAGTAGTACTCTCTACATCTTTGCTAAGGTCTAGTTGGTGAATGTGCGGTCTCAGTAGTAGTGTTCACCGCATGCGCTTTGCCATGTAAGTGTAGGCTTCATAACAGTGCTTGGTTTGTTTTAGGGGCAGTTTCAACTGCTCAATACATGGCTTTTGCCTGAAAGCCACTATCATGCGCAAAGGTTGATACATACTGCAGCCACCATACCATATGACAGTTGGTGGGTTTTAAACATGCCTGTACCTAACAGACAAGGAGAATCATTTTTTCTCTGGTTTTGTCCTGACAGGATGTTGATCATGTAGCTGCCACTGTCTCCAGTGAGGACCTGGAGAAAGCTTATGTAGCCAAGGGTTCTCCAAAGCTGAACTTCAAAGCTGGAAGACATGAATATGAACTCAATTTTGGAGGTAGGTTCCATTTGCTTTGTTTTTTTTGTTTTCTCTCTCCCTTCCTCCTTCCTTCCCTCCCAGGTCTTTTGTGGTTTTAAACTACATTACTACAGAAGTTAGGAGAGAGAAATTTGAACTTCGAGCTGCAGTGCTTACAGAGACAGAGCTTCTATCAAAGTTATCAGGATAAGAGCTGTTCATGTAAGCAAAGTGGCATTCCTATTCTTCCAGGCCTTTTATTTTTGAGAAGTTCTTGTGCTAGATTTCAAAATGTCTGCCAGCAAATCCAAGTGTGACATTGCCGTTGATGCTAGCACCAACACAAGTGGTGAGAAACTTCTGGAAGACTTGACAAGCCAGCTTCTGGTCTGCTTTAATAACTGGCTTGCAGAAAAATGAATACTTGGGCAAGGTGTAGAGTCCAGACAATCCTTAGCATTGCAAGATATATGTAGCTATTTTCTTTTCATAGCTCTGCCAGTCTGGAAAGGCTGACGAAATACCTTGACTATGTCAAAGTACGAAAATGTGCTTCCCAAAAGTTCAGGAAATTTAAGCCACTTGTGATGGCACTTGTCCTCTGTTGTTGAGCTGTTGCCTTTCCAGGTATCCTTTTCAAAAATAATGGGGAATAGTGGTGGTGGGAATCAGCCTGCCTAGACTGTCATTTTGGTGTAGTTGCCTTTGGTCCAACTCTCCATTACTATCTCATTCTGCATGGAAAAAAAAAAAAGCAACAAACAAGCAGAAAGGGCATGTGATACGTTTTTTGTGATTCAATTGAAAGCAATGCTGTAATCTTCTCTATAGGCTGAGTAAACTTGTCTGGCTTAAAAGGGAAAATTGCATAAGAAATCAATCATAGTAAATACCTTTTCTAAGGTTTGGGCATTTTTAGTATCTTAGACAAACATATACAATGTAGACATCTTCCAAAACATAGTTTCTAGACTTGGTGGTGCCAGGAAGTTTTTTCTTTGTTTTTCTTCCTGTATCCTATCTGAAGATAAGGCCTCATTTTCCTGGCTACTACTGACTCTTCATTGCTAGTATGATGTGGCAGAAACTACAGAGGTTCCACAATCCAGAAAGAATGCCTCTAAAATTCAGGTTGCTGTGACAGGTCAATAAAAATGAATGGCCTGTGATAGCTGTTAGGTTGTGTTTATAGGGTTTGAAATCTACAACTACATGTAGGAAAACAGTATGATTGCAAATTGAGAAGAGAGGATGCAATCCATGGAGCAAAGGTAGATACTTACTTTACAATGATCCTTTTTGGTTAAGTGTGACTGATGGAACAATGAAGGGGAAATAGCTACCAGTGTCTATCATTGCTTCTGAAGTTAAGAGCAAAACTGAAACTGAAATCCTTCTCAGTGATTTATACAGATAGACTGTGGGTTCCACATCCTGCTCTGACTTCCCTTTGTGAAGCAAGAAAAAAAGCTTCGTGCCTTTTTGTCGATACTTTTGACCAAACAACTTAGTGGCAGGTTTTGCTGCAGTGTGAAGACTTTCTAAAACATCTTTCTGAGACTTTTTTTTTCTTTTTCCCAGCCATGATTCAGAAAAACCTTCGCTACAAAACAGAGAGAGAGATTTGCAGAAGACCTAAATTTGTCTCTCAGACAGAGGTAGAAAAGGCAAGAGCAAGGTAAACTGCAACTGCTCATTCTCAGGTGATGGATTTAATGCATTGTGAATGCAGTGTCTTCCAAGGGTGTAAATAAGGTAAAGGAGTAGCTGTTAAGGCAATTGCAAAAGAAATGGAAGGGGAAGGGACATCCCTTTCCTACAACAACGTCTAGCCGGGTTAGTATTGCAGCCTGGCCACCAGTTTTCAAGCAACTCAAGAGCCTTGAGGGTGAAGGAAGTTTGGGCTTGGCCACAGAAAGTGTGGAAGCAGTGAAAATAATGCAACATGTAGGAATGTTGTGGGGAGCTGCTGATTAGAAGATGCTATCTTATTAGAGCAGTTGACACACATGGAAGCAACAACATTTATGCATACTAGCCCTTTCTGACATCCGAGATCAGTACTTTTCAAAGCTAAGTACAAGTTTAGAAACAATTCTTTTGAGAACAACCAGACAATCTGAGAGGAAAGTAGTAGTTGTTACAGGTGGAGCAAAAGGTGGGAGTCTGCAAGGGGAGAAGTTTTATATAATTACATGTAACAGCCAACTTTTCTTATGCGTTCCCTTGCAGCACACAGTACTCGCTTAAACAACACAGAAAAGAGCAGCTAAACACACTAATTAAAATTGAGGTGGAAGTAGAGGGGAGGGCTGTATCTATCCTGTTTCTGTCATACTGATATGATACTGGATGCATTTTTATTTATCTACCCAGTGTAGGAGAGCTTTTATGTATACATTCAACTCTTTGCAACTAAGGGAACTACTTTCATGTTTAGTTCGGTGTATATCTAATTTTTTTCTCCATTGACATCTTGCTTCCTGCTATAAATCTTGACATGATGATTTAGAACAAATATTTTCATGCACTGAACTGAAAAGACAGTACATTTATGACATGTTTCTGAATATGTTCAGTTGCGTATATTTTCCCTAAACTTGGCAAAAATGTTAAGGATCATACGTACATAAAATGTAGGGGTGTGTTTTTTGTTTTAAATACCTATTTGTAATGTCTTGTAATGTACAGGAGCTTTAAACATATAGAAGCATTTAAGGGCATTCCAGCTCACTGGGACAAATCTGCCATGCCTGAAGTGGGATTCAAGGTTTGGAGCTTTTTTTTTTTTCCTCTCCATCAGTTTTGTTGCATACAGATTTGTTACATCACAAGTTCAGTGTTTCTTGTGCCTTTGTAGATAACTATTTCTTATGTAGTGTAATGCAGAGCTGTTGGAAAATTTGAGCCTGTTATCACACTGGGCAGACCTAGAGGTGAAACTAGACCCAAACTGGAAAATTTGAGCCTGTTATCAGACCTAGAGGTGAAACTAGCCCCAAATTTAAACTAACAAATGGTGGCAGTATAACCATGGTAACATTGGCTTTCACTGCTACTATTTATCCCTTTCCTTGGCAAATTTGCCTGAAGCTTATGCTATAATAGCAAGATTGTTATGGGTGCCTAAGATACATGGCTTTGAAGCATGAGAGAGAAACCATGTGGTTAAACTTCAGTAGCCATTCCCTGAGCTGTGTGTAAGCAGACTGTTGTATGTGTGTGGAGCATTGCTGGAATCAGCAGAGTTCAGGCTGGGGTCGTTTATTAAAAATGTGCCATAACACCAGTGGGGTGAACCTGTTTACCTTTGTAATACACCCAGTTAATATCTGCACAGTTTACCTTTGCTGACTTCCTGCCTGCCTCCACCGTGACCTCTGTCAACTCTAGTACAATACCTACAGAAAAGATCTTCCTATATGAAGCTTGAAAACTACTAACTTGCAAAATGCAGATCCTCAAGAAATCGTCAATAAAAAATAGGGAAGGCTAATATGGACGTTCTTGATGTTCCTACGGAAAACATGGAAGTAGAAAACTTGCTTGCTTTTAGGACTGTCATGTAAGGAAAACTGATTTTTGGCAGTGTGTCCCTACTCTTCCCTAAAATGTTTTATCAAATAAAGCCTTTTCAATTCATTTAAAAACATAACAGGCAGTGCAGTTTGTGTTCACTGGCTGTAGGGAGTATAAACTATAAAGATTTAAAAAGCGTAGGTGTAGAGGTACTCTTTGATTTGCTGCAACATAAATTCTTCATTCTTTTTTTATTTATGTCCTCATTTCTTCTATGTATTTAGATATTGTTTGATATATGCATGCAAATGTATCTTGGCCCAAGTATTAAAAAGGGCTGGGTGGCTGCACAAAAGCATGCAGATCCTTTAATGTCCTGTGAGAGAGCAACCTTGGGTGTCTTAAACACCAGGATTTAATGTTCCCTAGGTAAGAGCTCACTTTTACAGAGCAAGGATCTCTAGTCTGCCTTTTTTCCAAGAATATTTTTGCTGCTCTTACCTCTGCTTCACAGAAAAGACTTTAAAGGTCTGACTAGTGCACTAGGTAGAGTGGCTGTGTTATGATTTAGCAAAAGATGAGAGGGGCTTTTTCATCTTTTTCCTTACAGCTGATTGAGCTTGACAGTTCTGCTGAAGAATACAAGAAAGTCAAGGTGGACTTTCAACGCACAATGCCCAAAACAATTATTAAAAGGATTCATAGAGTTCAGAACCCATCCCTCTGGGAACTGTATCAATGGTATGTGTAAAATACTGCTCTGGTATGTGTGCATGAAGTTTGTTGTTTCTGCAGTTAGCTGTATGCTAAAGATAGACACATGCATTCCTGAAATGCAGCTGCATTTATGAATCTTCCACTCCCCCACTGAAATACCTAGCCAGGATCAACGTGTAGATAAAGAGGTACCGACAAAACCAAAACTCAGTTAAGACATAGAGCTTAGAATAGTCGGATGAGCTCTGTGGGAGGAATCCTTGCTCCTGAGTAAGTGGTTCTGACTTCTGCCAGGCTTGTGTCCAGGACAGCTGCCTTCTGCGGAAGCCTTGAAGCTGGTAATCGGTCACATCTGGCAGAAACACTGGTTTGTAGCTGGTCAAAACTGAAATGGCCTTCAAAACTAAATACAAAATTCACTGAGGGAAAGCCTTACCATGAACTCCTGTGTTTAGAAACAAAAAAATGGTTTAAGATTCCTCCCTCCCCTCTTAATAGGCAGTGAATGAAACAAAATGTTTTTATTATTAAATATCTGGAGGCATTTGTGTATAATGAAAGCATGTTTGTACCCAGCTAAGCAGCAAGATACCCTGTGTGCCCAAAGTTCAGGCCTTAACATAAGAATTTGCAGAATTAACTCTATGTAAAATTGTCTCTGAGTGCTTGTATGCTGGAACCTGTCTGGGTACAGCCACTGTGGAACTGCAAAGATACTGCTTCTTATTGCAGGCAGAAGGAACAAATGCAGAAGAGCAATGGTAGAAAGACTGTGGATGAGCGATTTTTATTTCATGGGACCAGTAAAAAATACATTGATGCCATCTGTCAGCAAAACTTTGACTGGAGGATCTGTGGCCTTCATGGGACAGTCTACGGCAAAGGTAGGTTTTCGGCTCTTTCATTAACCCCAGACTTGCTAAACAATTCTCAGTAGTTACTGCAGTAGTGTAAAGTTAGAAAGAGGGCACGCAGACAATCTCTGTGATGATGTGGACAACATAGCTGACTTTGGCAATGATCATTTGGAGCTAAGGCATACTGAAAGGCCTTGGCCTCTATGCTCCACCTTGTCCTTGCAAGAAAAGACAAGCTTAGGAGAGGCCAGTTCTACGGATGGTTTCTCCTAGAGTCCAGGCTTACTCCTGTTCCAGTTTCTCCAAGCTCCTACAGGAAGGCAATGTGGTATTATTTGTTTTTTTCCAGGAACATAAATGCCATCCTGGTTACAGGCTTTTTGCCTTGTAAGCAAATTATATTCCTTTAAGGTGTTCTGTGTACAGGAAAGGATCAACACACACCAAGTGGAATAGCTGAGACAGACTGACTGACTACCCACCCGTCCGATTGAACACTTTGTAACTCTCGGAAACCTTCTAATCAATAGTACTAGCCTCTGTCAGGAGAGGAAGTTGGGTGAAATTGGGGAAGGTAGACTTCAAGGGTCAGGAGGAATTCCTTTTTAAGGAACATCATAACATTTAAAACATTACTTGATGTGGCTTTTTAATATGTGCGCTGTGAAAAATGAAAGTATAGGTAATACACAGTGGTCATTTTCACTAAGAAGGACATGCAGGATAAGTGAAGGCTTTGGAAGGGCCATTCATGAACTACTTAATGGATTTGCTTATGAACTTGCTTTCACACTGTATCACTTCCTTCCCTGCAATTTTGGTGTCTTACCAACTCTGTCTTGGTGTTTCTTCTGCAGGAAGCTATTTTGCAAGGGATGCGTCTTACTCTGACAACTACTGCAGGGAAGACTCGTACACCAAGACCATGTTTCTGGCACGGGTGCTGGTGGGGGAGTTCACTCTTGGTAATTCTTCTTATGTTCGGCCTCCCTTGAAGGACAACGGAAACTTCTACGACAGTTGTGTGAATAGCTGTTCAAACCCTTCTATCTTTGTCGTCTTTGAGAAACAGCAGATTTATCCAGAGTATCTCATAGTATATACTGACCAGGTGTTGGCAAAAATGCTATAGCAGCAAAACCTGTCATTATTATGTTTAGCTGGTATAAACATTTTTTTAGTATTGGCTTAAGAGAGAAAAAGTGATTTTTAGAAGTTTTGTAATTGGGTAGGTGAGTGTTCAGAAACATTTCTTCTCTGTCCTTTCTGTGCAACAGAAAATGAGAGGTAAAAAGACAAAGGATGTCTTAGAATTCTTAAAATCCTTTCACTGACTCCTATTCTTTAGCAGGTATCATGTTTCCCTGCATTGCAAGAAACTTTTATAAATTTATTAGCTGAATTCACTGATGTTGTAACATGAGGATTGGCTATGACTGCCAAGCTTAAACAGTATTTAGTTATAATTGTTTCAGGATAGATCTTTACATGTGCTTGTCGGTCAGAGGCTGTGTCCTTCTGCCTGTTTATCTTTTAACTCAAAATTTGGTGAAACCTGCTTTTTTAAATGATCTGTCTCCTGTAACAGTAGACGTTCAAGTGTTTGCAAATGAGACTCTCTTTGTGCTGAGTTCATTGCATAAACTCTTAGCAGCGCTGTTTTTTGTCCCTACTTAATCTTCAACAACAAAGCCTCCAAAATTAAACTTGCTTGCTGAAAAGGAACAGAGACTTACTTTCACTTGTTAATTTTCTCATTTAAAACAAGTACCATAGCGGGGTTGCTTGGTGCTGTGCTACCCAACAGTTGACTGACTTACTCTATCAAGTAAATGCTGTATTTTAGATCTGTGCAAACACAAGCTTCTCATGACTTTCAGTGTGCCTGCAAATGAGACGAGTGGTGGTAGGGGGCATGAAGAAGAGGAGGCAACTCACCCTGTCATTTAAGAATACCATACTTACGAGTAAAATACACTGCTTGCACTGCTTGATTAGTAATACCCTGTTTCTGTGGAGGAACTTTACAGTTGTTGGGAAGGACAGTGAATGACTGTCTCTCATTAGGTGTACTGCCCCTTTGCTTGCAGGAGGTACACCAGTTACCTCTGTAATCAAGAGAAATCTTGCAGGGAAAATGTGCTTACCTGGGAGTGGTCTTCAGCCACAGAGCTGAAACCTTTAAAAATCTGAAGATTAAGTTGAGTATTTAATTGTTTGCAGCAAAAGATGTTATTACTGTTGAGCAGTCAGCATACATATATATGCAGATAATAAAAAAACTTTGAACTGTCATGTATTAGCATTAAAGTTGCTGATGCATAGACAGATGCTTTATTAGAGCTTTTAGTGCTCCTAAATGAGTATTTGTTAGCTATAGTGTACTGCATAAAGCCTTAAGATATACTTCGTATAGGACCGAAAAAAGCTCCTCTCTACCTGTATTCTAGAAGCGCTTCTTTTTAATTCATCTGGATGATGATGGACAGGTGTACACTGGGTAACTCTTTATTACTTAAGCACTGTGAATGTGGAGCTTAGCCATGATTAGCTGGAGTAGGGCTGTGTAGAACTCCTTTTTATAAGAACTGTAAAACTAGCAGCATGATATCTAAAGGAAAATACTCCTATTCATTTTTAAACCCAGTAAAACACAGGATGTGGAAAAGCACATTGATGTATTTTTTTCTTTGGAAAGATTTGTAATAGAACATACATGATAAATCTCATGTCAGCAAATAACTGTGCAGCTGAAAGCTTTCATACATGTGCAGAGTAAGATTTTTCTGCCAAAACAAAAAAACATGTTCATCTACACGTTTATGGCAAATGAGAATACCGGTAGTATGCCTTTCTTCCTCTGAACATAACCAGCATTTCAGCTAAGAACTGCAATAGCTAAAGTCATGTTAATCTTTTACCAGAAAATTGAAACAAGCATTTTTTTCATGGAAAAAGTTGAGATATTTTTCTAATAACATTTTTGCTGGCTAGTAATTTTTTAAAACATTTAACTTAATTCTTGGAGGGAATGTTTAAGTGTGAATGTGTATGTAAGTAAGTAAAATAACTGGAAAAAATGGCAGGTTGTGTTCCTTTGTCATCTGTTATTCGTTAACATACAAAAAAGAAAAGTGGCCATGTTTTCCACTTTTGAGACTGAAGTTGTAACTTTCTTGTGTGTAGTTGTGCTGGTTTTGGTTAGGTAGAGTTAGTTTTCTAGTTTTTTAGAGTTAGGGGGTTTTTTTTTAGTTTGATAGAGTTAGTTTTCTCCACAGAAGCTAGCGTGAGGATATGTTTTGGATTGGGGATGAGAAAACGTTGATAAGGTGCTGATGTTTTGAGTTGTTGCTAAGTAGTCAAGGACAGTCCAGCTTCTCATGCTGGCCTGCTAGTGGGAAGTGAGAAGGCTGGGGGTGCATGGGAAGCTGGAGGGGACACAGCCGGGACAGCTGACCCCAACTGACCAAAGGGATATTCCATACCATATGGCATCATGCTTAGTGTATAAAGCTGGGGGAAGAAGGAGGAAGGGGGGACCTTGGGAGTAACTCCATCACATGTTACTGTTACTTGTGTTTGTCTTCCCAAGTAACAGTAACGTGTGATGGAGCCCTGCTTTCCTGGAGATGGCTGAACACCTGCCTGCCGATGGGAAGTGGTGCTGAATTCCTGGTTTTGCTTTTAGCTATTAAACTGTCAAACCACAAGTTTTCTCACTTTTACTCTTCTGATTCTCTCCCTACTCCTGCCATGTGGGGTGTGAGCGAGTGGCCATGTGGTGCTTAGTTGTTGGCTGGGGTTAATCCATGACAGTAGTAAATAGACAGGTATTCAAACCACTAAATTCCTTGTAATGTTTTTTTCTCAATACTAAAAGCACCTTCTTTCCCT